GGCTTATGCCTTCTTAGAAAGGGTCTCCTACAAAGCAAGTTTTGGCTTTTAAACCTGGTTCCATCTCAGGCCTAGTCTTTCTCCGCCTACTAGACTAACCCCACTGGTTTAGGTCTACCATGGAGCTCTGCATACTGCCTCAACCATCTACTTGCTTTATTGTTGCTCATAAATTCTGGTTTTCTGCATATCGCTTTTTTATGTTTACTCATGTATGTCTCAGATCATATTAATTAAAATGTACATTATTACAAATTCAATTACCAAGAAACTTTAAATGAAAAATATTTAGAAATAAAACACCAGGGACCCTATAACCATATGCCATTGCACTTAATTTGAAATTGAAGTGTTCTCAAATAATATGTCAATCTGTATGACTCTTTGAATAACTGACATTGTCTCTGCAAATGGTTCTGGATCTCAAGGAGCCCTTTTTCTGATCATTTTCTTTTTCTTATTAACTATTTAATACAGACCTGAACTATATTTTTCTTTTGCCCACCTTTCATTTAAATATTTATCATACTATCCTAGGGCAAGTATGGGTATGAGTGTCTTTTCACAGGCTGCTCTCCTCTCCTAAATCAAGAATTAATACAGTAAGAAAGATTGCCCATAAGAAACCATTATTGAAGGACACCGTATGGCGGTCCCACTACTGGGCTGGCACTCACCTCGGAATTGGTTGAACCTGTCTATCAGTCCAGTGATGGGCCTGGCAATAAGCGCTGGCTTCACAGGCTGCGGCATGTGCAGCTGCACGGACTCACTCCTGCAAGGAGGAAGAATCAGTTAATCTTTCAGGTGCCAAAGGGGACATCACAGTATGTAAAAAAGACCTCAGCATTAACTGAAAATGTTTCATCAGAACCCACTGCTGATATTGTGGTGTAGCTCCACGATCCTGGCATGGGACTGCACCACTCTTAGAGAATCTTTCTTTCTTCTCTGCCTGCTTCCTTCTCCTGCCCCTCAGAGGTACTTGCCTCTCTCACCTGCCACCTGGCACAAACTAGTCCATTTACCTAAACAAGTTTATGTGTTTGAAAGCTAAAATCCTAGGTAGCTGTCTTCTAGCCATTTATTCCCTGAGCCCTGCAACACATACTTCCTTGAGTCACAGGAAAGAAACAAGGCTAATCGGTGATAGAGGGAACAGGAAAACATATTCAGTAAAACATACTCAACATGCATACACAGAAAATATCCAATACTTCTATAAATTATGTTCTCACTCTGTTAGAAACACTGTGATCTCTTTCACAGTCTGATGGAGCTCTAGTTTGCAGTGAAGGCCAAACTTACCTGGTCAATATGTCTCCCAAATCCTATGGAGATAAAAAAGAAAAGAAAATTATAGAATTCTTCACAAATGGGGATTCTGCACATTCAGTCGTTATATTTGGGAAGGTTCAGAAAGGAACCAACCATCCATCACCACACTATTCTGGTAAATTCACTTTTCTTTTCCTCTCTAACAATAATCCCAGTGCAATATGTGGATAAAATCCGCATTCTCGGTGAATTCAGAAACCTGAGGGTGAATGAGTAAACAGAAGGACGTGGGTACAGACTGCAGTGATGCAACCGTCAGCTGTCTGCAAACTGGGCTTTCCCAGGGCTTGTCTCCAAAGGGTAATGTGCCCCAGAATAAGGCAACTCAAATCTGGGACTTCAAAACAAAAGGAGGAAGTAAAAGCCGGCTCTTCCCAAATTTCTCCGTATTGCCCAACTGGAGACTAAAGTGGAATGCTCTTGAGGAAGTTGTTCCTGTCTGGTTTTTAGAGAAGCAAGGTAGAGAAGACTTTTAAAAGGGAGTACTGTATTTTTACACAAAAAACTGGTGCTTTCTAGGTTTGTTTGCCAAGCGTGCATTCCCCCCTCCCCAAGAGGTGTTTTCATAAGTGTTGCTATGCAATTTTTTTACACCAACCTGTAAAAAAATTAGCTTTTCGCAATTATGAAAATACCTGGGGCTGGCTAGGGGGAGGGGCAAACAAAAGTAGAAGGCACTTGTTATTTGTGAGAAAACACAGTATTCCCTGGGGAATCTACTCTCATAATTTCATAAAGGTTTGTTATTCATGTCTAGGATAGGAGTTACAGTTTATGTCTGTTATTCCCAGTTGGCAAATGCCCTCCCCATAGGAAAAAGAATTGTGTCTTTGGTAACAAATACGTAGCGGAGGTCAAGGATGTGGACTTTAGCTACTGTACATGATTTCCAGGCATGTCCTCAGTTCTTACCTGGAGCAGCTCCACATCTGATTTATGGCAGATATTCATCAGCTCCTCATACATTTCTCTTAGGCGCTTCCCCTTTTGAACCATTGTGGCTTCTCTTTTCTTCAGTTGCTGTAAAATCTTCTTGCCTTCACTTTTCAGTCCCTCTAAATGTTGTTTTTCTTCCTCAAGGAGAACCGGATGCACTTTCTGATACTCAGAACTGATAATCTCTGACAGTAGAAACACATAATACTGCAAAGACATGGATTTCTTAGGTCATGTATGCAATCCAAGTTCAGCCTCCTCCACTTAAACCTCATCTATTTCTCTCTGACTCACATCCTCTACCAATCAACTGCACACAACCTAAATCCACGTCCTCTTGCTGATCAGAAACCACAAAGTCACTCCTCCATTTTCTTCCTTCGTTTGTTTTCCATTCAAGGGCCAAACCCATCCTCCCTTCAGAACACTTCCATTCACTTCCAAAGTTCCAAAACATCTGCAGAAATGCCTTATAGTTAATTTCTTTACTATGCATCCTCTCTTTTCTGAGTTGCTGATATATTGGGGTTTACAAATCTGAACTAAGTGTCATGCTACCTTACATTGAAAAGGCAGATTACTTTTCCTATGGATAAACCACTCACAGAATCTCATGGCACACTATGATTTCAGCTGAAGCTCTTAATGGACAAATCTCCAGCAAGTCTATCACAAGCTGGTTATGAGGGAAACAAACTCATACTTACTATCCATAGGTTGGTTATTAGGCTCTCCTCATTCAGATTTCTCTGATTTTTTTGAATATTTTCCCATAAAGATCTCATTTGCTTTAAGAGCTTCTCCTGCAAAAGAATCATGAATATGACTACCACAGAAGCAAATATTATGGATTTCATACCATAATACTTAGACAGAGGCAAGAGATATTAGATGGATGTACTCTAGGGAAGGTGGAAGGATCATAATGTTTCCCTGTTTACCCTTCATAATTACAAATTGTGGGAAATTTCAGGCTGTAGAAACACAAAATTTAGTGTCATCATTTGCCTGTGGAAACTGACAAGGGAGGATTTTATGTAACATGGCTAATTTTCAGATAAACAACTTGGTATAGAATTTGGATATACTGATGCTGTTGTTGTTGTCAAGTTGAGTCCAACTCATAGCCACCCTACGAGACAGAGTAGAACTACCCCATAGAGTTTCCTGGGCTGTAATCTTCAAAGGAGCACATTGCCAGGTCTTTTCTCCTGTGGACCGACTGGTGAGTCTGAACTGCCTACCTTTTGGTTAACAGTCAAGTGTTTAACCTTTATGCCACCAGGGCTTCTCTACTGATGCTAGGTCTCTGCTATTTTCCAGTATGCTATTTGACCTGTATTACTACATATGCTTCCAGTATAAAAACCTCTTTGTCCGTATATTTTTGCTATCTGAAAATGAGGACTTCACAGTACCCTGAGCATTATATTGCATATTCAAAATAACAATCATTAACTTATTCACATCTCATCTCTTTGCTGGAATGCAAACTCTATGAAGGCAGATATGTTTCTTTATTTTATTTATACATTTTTTCCTTCCTGCTTATGACAGTAGCTAGCACATGTTAGACTCTCAGTAATAAGTGGATTAATCATCATCACAGTATTCATCTTCCTTATATGGTCTTAGCTCTATTATCCTCCAGCTTTCAAAGTGCTTTCAGATGCATCACTTACCCGGTATTCCTCAACAGCGCATTCTATGGAACAGTGACTGTGAGCCTCGTGCTCCTGAGAATTAGAGCAGAGCAAACAAAGCAGGTTCTTGCTCTCTTCACAGAACATCTTCTTTGCCTCTTTGTGTGTCCCACACATCTGTTCCTCAGAGCTGAGGAACTGCCAGAGACTGGCTTGTCTGGCAAGGGAAGTCAGATTCTTCACAAGAATATTGGTTTTGAACTCTGTCTGCTCTGATGTTTCCCTGCACAGGGGGCAACGAACAGGAATTTCGGCTTCTTCCCAGGAAAGGTAGAGACAGGGCCTACAGAAGGTGTGCCCACAGCCTATGGTGACAGGGTCTGTAAGGTAGTTCAAGCAGATGAAGCAGTTGAGTTCCTTCTGGAAGGCTGAATCCATTTTTCTGGGGAAGGAAAATCAGAAAAGTTTATTATTCCGCCCTGGGGAGACAAAGGCCTAAACAAAATTTTACTCTAACTGTGACCTAAAAATACACTTTTGTGAAATTCAAATTCCAAAAAAACGTGAGACTCTCTGGACCGATGGAGACTAGAAGAACCCCCAAGACGATTGCTCTAAGATACACTTTGAACTTGGAATTAAATCCAGCCATGGAGGTCACCTTTCAGCCACACAATAGATTGACTTATAAAATAAACAATGTCACCTGCAATTAATGTAATCCCTTAAACAATCAACTATATGTGACAAGAGGTCAACATTTACCCAAAAGCAAGATGAGAAGGCAAGTATGGGCAGGGAAGTTAGCTCAATGGAAACAGAACAGACATTATGGAAATAATGAGAATGCTGACTCATGGTGAATACTGTAACCAATGTCATGGAACAATTTGTATAAAATTGTTAAATGGGTGCTCAATTTGCTGTGTAACCTAAAACACAATTAAGAAATTAAAAAAAAAAAACATAGAGAAGACTATCAATGTAGAAAGATGCTTAATGTTCATTACTAATATGGGGAATGTGAAGATGTTATCAAATGGTACTTACCTCGATCCCACTTTTTACCTAAAACAAAAGCAAGTTTTTACAAAATATATATATATATATACATATATATATATACACCTTCAATAAAAAAAATGAGGTGTTTGAAACCTTAAGGTGTGTACTGGTCAGTTTTGCCATCCTGCTGGGCTTAAAATGAGCCATCTCAGAGGCAGAAAAGGGGGACTTCACTACTATCAAGGAAAAAGAGCCGAGAGGTGGTGTGTGCCTTTTGGACCCAGGGTCCCTGTGCTCCTAGACCAGGAGACAGAAAGAGAAAGAGAGAGCTGTAACACTGGAGCAGCAGAGAAACAGCATCAGCAAAAGCAGGAGACCGACACAAGATGGTGCAGTGAGAGTCACAGCCCATGGAGCAAGGTGCCTACAGCTGTTGCGCTACAGTAGGTGTGCCAAGCCACAGAGCAAGAGAAATGAGAGCCTCGAGGCAGGAGGCTTCCCAAGGGACTTGTCAAAGGAGCTAGGCTTTCGGAGTCACAGAGCAAGAGAGCAGAGTGCCTTCAGGTTGAGGCTTCTGGCCCAGTGGGGTGCATTTGGACACTTACTGAGGGAAGTAAAGAGTTTTGTAGCACTTGCCTGAGCAGGGCAAAGGCTAGGCAGAGTGGCCAAGAGTGACAGACCTGCCTGCAGGCACAGCTGAGAAGCTTTCCTGACCAAAGAATTGTAACCTGAGTCATTCTGATCCTGAACTGTATGTAACCTATTACTTCCCTAATAAACCCCATAATTTGTAAGTATAGTTTGTAAGTTCTGTGTGGGATTGCAATGAATTATCAAAGCCAGCAGAAAAGTAGAGAGTGCCATGGGAGGAATGGCTGGTGTCAGATTTGGGAAAACGTTTTGAGAGAGGAAGTATGTCTGACCTCCTTCTCATAGGGATCAGCTTTGGGCAGATGGTGATTCTCCCCCCTCATGAACTTAGACAAGAAGGACTGACCATGGGACATTATCATCTTTACAAAAGGTTAATATAACAACATCTTTGTCAGGGAGATAATAAAGGTTAAGAAAAATAAATCAATTGATTTAAGATGCAGAATTGTACAGAATGCCATCAATCTATGCTTGTCTTCTATCCCACACCCATGACTCAGAAAATGCTTCTCTAGAAACCCGTGGATAAAAACGTATGAGAAACACTTATACACAAGGTATACCCACAAAACCAAATTTTCTATTTTGATGTCTTTTATCGTAAACAAATTACACGACCCTAAGACAGCTTCTAGGAGACTTGATGGTGCAGTGTCTTAAGCGTTCAGTTACTAATCAAAAGATTGGTGGTTTGAACCTACCAGCTGATCCACAGGATCAAGATGTGACAGTCTTGGAAACTCTATGGGGACAGTTCTACTCTGTTCTTGTCCTATAAGGTTGCTATGAGAAGGAATCGATTCAACCACAACAGGTTTGGTTTTTGGTTAAAACAACTTCTAGAAACATAAGAATAATAAGGATTCATATAATAATAAAATTGGATCAGACTTCATCCAGAATCTTCTTATACAAATATACTTGCTGCTCAATTTGCCATTTTTATAATTTATACTGCTGTATTCAAAGAAGTTAAAAAGCAAAATGTCACTTTGGCTACTAAGGTTCCTCCCACCCAAGCCATGGTATTTTCAGTTACCTCATATGCATGTGAAAGCTGGACAATGAATAAGGAAGAACAAACAAAAGCTGATGACTCTGAATTATGGTGTTGGCGAAGAATATTCAATATACCATGGACTGCCAGAAGAACAAACAAATCTGTCTTAGAAGAAGTACAGCCAGATTGTTCTTTAGAAGCAAGGATGGTGAGACTTCCTCTCATATACTTTGAACATGTTATCAGGAGGGACCAGTCCCTGGAGAAGAACATCATGCTTAGTAAGTAGAGGGTCAGCTAAACAGAGGAAGATCTTCATGAGATGGATTGACACACAGGCTGCAAAAATGGGCTCAAATGCGATTGTGAGGATGATGCATAACCAAGCAATGTTTCGTTCTGTTGTACGTAGAGTCGCCAGGAGTCAGAACCGACTGGACGGCATCTAACAATATTCAAACAAGCAAAAAATAGACAAGAGAATAGCAATATCTTCCAAATCCTTTCACACTATTATAGAGTACCACTTCACATTGTGAAAAAATGTAATTTTTTGTGCAACAATGATCAGCACCAGAAAACAACTGTGCTTATAAAAATGGATTTTGCTAACTAGTTCTCACTTCTCCACCAGATGAATACAGATGACACTCGCATTTCTGTTATTGCGGCATCGTCACCAGTGTTACTTTTCTAGAAGCCCAATCATTTCCTGGCTTCTTTAAAATTTAAGTCAAAATACTGTTATTTCTGGACAGACATTTACTACACTCAAAAACAATATTTTCCCAAATCATCCAATGCATTACTTAGTTATGTTTTACAGAATATTCTCTGAACAGTAGTACAACTTGTAGAGTAGAATGTAATACATTTTGGCACTACATACAGAATAAAATAACCAAGCCCATTTTTAGTATCTACACCAAATACAAAATTACAAAATACCTACAATTAAAAGGCAACTACATTCCGAGTCCTTATAACACCTATGAAAAACCAAGGAGCACTTAAATTAATAGAAATAATATTAACATCAAATTAATTCCAAAAATATAAAGTAAGAAAAAGATGACAAAATACGTTTAGTAAGTAGATAAACTACTTGCTGAAAGTGAAGAGGACTCGAAGCACTTCCTGATGAAGATCAAAGACCACAGCACTCAGTATGGACAAGAAAACAAAAATCCTCACAACTGGACCAATAAGCAACATCATGATAAATGGAGAAAAGATTGAAGTAGTCAAAGATTTCATTTTACTTGAATCTACAACCAACACCCATGGAAGCAACAGTCAAGAAATCAAAAGACACATTGCATTGGGCAAATCTGCTGCAAAAGACCTCTTCAAAGTGTGGAAAAGCAAAGATGTCACCTTGAAAACTAAGGTGCGCCTGACCCAAGCCATGGTATTTGCAATTGCATCATATGCATGTGAAAGCTGGACAATGAATAAGGAAGACCGAAGAAGAATTGATGCCTTTGAATTCTGGTATCGGCAAAGAATATCAAACATACCATGGACTGCCAAAAGAACGAACAAGTCTGCATTGGAAGAAGTACAACCAGAATGCTCCTTAGAAACAAGGATGGCGAGACTATGTCTTACATACTTTGGACATGTAATCAGGAGGGATTAGGCCCTGGAGAAGGCCGTCATGCTAGGTAAAGAACATGGTCAGCGAAAAAGAAGACCCTGCAACAATGGGCTCAGTCATAACAATTGTGAGCAGGGCACAGGATTGGACAGTGTTTCATTTGGTGGTGCAAGGGTTACTATGAGTCCGAATCAACTCGACAGCACCTAACAATAACAAGTAGACAAAAAACATAATTTCAAAGAAACAAACTCAGTTTGCTACTGGATCAAATCAAATTATGATTTTTTTTGTTTATGGTTTAGTTGAGAAAAAGTAACAGGAACTCTTCTTCCATAAATTGTGTACTCACCTAAGGAATACGGCAAGGGTTTCCCCAATGCTTGCTGTAGAAGTAGTGTTATGGAAGTCAGTTCAGGGATCAGGTCCTCACGGTGTGGTTACAGTAGCTTTCAGAAGACTCTGCAGGCAGGAGAGTTCCAAAGGCCGACTGTCTCTTCTGGAGAAGAGTGACCCTGGTTCCTTGGGTCCTTTCTATTGCACCCTGAAGACCACACCCATTTCTTCCCAGTGATTGCATTTCACGAGTCTTCTAATAGGAATGATTAAACTTTGTCAATGAGAAGAGGGAATTATGTAACACCTTTGGCAATCTCCATAAACTAATCTCTGCAAACATCATCTCATCAAAAGAAACTGAGTTTTCTAAAAATGAAACCCCAGTGCTGCCTTTCTATCTAAATTAGTTTTGGAACAAGACTTTTATTTTTAACTTATAAAAGCTTAGAAAACAGAAAGTCATTAGTTAGTGATTTTAGCAAGTATTTTGGAATATTTGGAAATGTTTTACCTGACGTAGGCTTTAGTTATATTCAGTCACTTGTGAAATGTTTCATTTCGTTCATCGATTTATTTTTGTATTTTAATGTAAGAACATCATTGGTCACCACAACAGAATGGAGCCTTCTCCTGGCCCTCACACTCCAAACTAAGCCTAGAACAGCCTCCCAGCAACAGTGCGACACAGGATCTCTGACTTGTACTCTTCAACCCACCTAAGAGGGAACACGGGAAAAGGCCAGAAAGTCCCATCTCAGGGAACCCTGAGTCAGGTTTGGGTTATGTCCCCAATACATTTAGTCCTCTACTTATGGGATATAGTTGGATGCTATCTTGGGCCCTTAGGAAACTCCTTCTACTTTTGATTGGTCCCACATAGCTTTCAAGTTGTC